TCCTCACTGCTCACCTAAAGTGATGAGTGATACTGTGATGCCACACTCACATCCTGTGGTAGTCATGCTTGATCAGCAGCTGAGTCATGCAGACAAATCATTAATCCATTTGTCTGACAGCTGTACCAGAAGAATAACACATCACACACACATGCTGGCGGTGTTGGTTTGAACAGCTGGCAGCCACCAACTGACCTGATACTGACCAGCTGCTCTCATCGAAACTGGCAAGGGAACACAGCAGTGAGGTCTCTTTACTGAAAATCAGTGTTGAGTCTCTGTGAAAATGCTGACTTACTGAACATGATGTGAAGTCATTAGGAAGCAGCATTCAGTGGTAGCACACTTACAGTACCAATGATGCATTTACCTGTCCTGGCGAATAGTAATATACACTAGAGAATACATGTTGGAGTACAAACAAATGAGGGAAAATATTCTATATATGCAGCTTATCTGGTTGTTCACTGAACATCTGCTTTTAGATATGAAGAGAGGACGTTAACTTAGCAGAACTAGTACTAAACAGCACTGCAGTTCCTCAGTATTAAGTGATCTAATCAGCTTTGCTATTGAAATGACTAACATTTACATTACATTGGAGATGGTACGTACAGCAGAGGGATGATGATCTAACTGAGGCAGTGGATGACCAGAACACTACAGAACATTTCATCTTCCTGCCCTACCGCTGACCGTTTCATGATGATGGTTACAGCAGTGACCATGGAAACCCTCAAGGATCCTCTAAACCTCCAGAGACAGTGGTCACATGAACTTTGCCTCCAGAGGTGCCAAAATACTCCTATTACCTCATCCTGCACTAAGGAAAACTGAAATGTGTCCCTTTAGTAACATCAGGCCACGTCTTGCTACAGTAAAGGACCTATTCTACACATTCTTCTTATGTGTCAAAACCTGATCTTTCCTTTTTACTATAAATTAAAACACTTCTTACTGTATACTCTAAGACAAAAATGTGATTTAAGATGCTATAATGCAGTGGGCTATGTATTCACTGGCATTATAGCAACCCTACAGTGTTGTCTGCTTGATAACATTCCTTAAAACAGCCTGACATCTGTAGGCCTGGTAATTTAGTCTTGAAAAGTACTTCTTAAAACAGCATGACAGCAGCTGATTTGTGTCCCTTCTGGAATGCTTTTTTGGGGCAGGGATATTTGTATCACTGTACAACAGTCTACCAAATGGAAACTACTGTAGTATAGAACAAAAACAAAAAGCTTGTTTTTTTTAATGACTCTTGTTGCACATTCTTTGGCCACTTTTTTCCCCACTGGCAGCCTGTCAGCATGAAACAGAAAAGGACAGACTCAACTAAAAACTGAACATCAACATGTATTTACTTCATTTTGTGGAATTAAGTGAATAACTTATCTTGGACCAGCCCTCATTTAGAAACCGAGTAAGGTGGGTAAAAAAAAAAAACTGCATGCATTTTTTGTCTTTGTGAGAAAAACAAAAAGTAGAAACTAATGTAGTTTAGGATCTGTTGCTGCAAACTGGAATCAGCTCGCAACATTTCTGTTGTTATTTATACTATAATCAAACTGTTGCCAGTGAGCGAGGATAGCACTGTTTGTCGGTGCCCAGTAAAATCTTTATCAATACATTTAGTGAACAGGAGTGCACTCTCCTTGGCACTAAACCGAGGTTATTTTCGTTGCTGTTTGGCCAATTACTCTTTGGATTATTATTAAAACTAGTAGTAAAGTTGTAAAGACAACCCACAACAGAACACTGACAACTGCTCTGTACAAATAAGTTCAACCTGAAGTTCTGTGTCAATGTAAATGAAGAGTCAACAGCATTCTGACTGGCTAATGCACAGATGGGACACATCACGAAACCTAAATTATAGTCAGCATGTCATTCACAGATCACAACTGCATGATGTAGCAGAAAAAAAGACATTTTTGTTGTGGCTGGACTTGTTAACTTCCTTGACTTGTGCATTTTTTGGTAAGTGGTTAGCACTGCTGCCTCACAGAAAGACAGTTCCAGGTTCAAACCCCGGCCGACCCAGGGCCTTTCTGTGTGGAGTCTGCTTGTTCCCCCTGTGCCTACGTGGGTTCTCTCCAGGTGCTCCAGCTTCTTCCCACAGTCCAAAGACATGTACTGTAGCTTAGGTTGACCGGTGACTCTAAACTGCCCCTAGGAGTGAGTGCGAGTGGTTGTCAGCCCTGTGAGGCTGGTGACCTGTCCAGGATGGACCCCACTTCTCACCCAGTCCCAGCTGGGATTGGCTCCAGCCCCTCCAAGGTCCTCTGCAGGAAAAGTGGTATAGATAATGGATAGATGGACTTCTGAATTTTAATACAGTGGGCATCAAGTCTGCACTATTTTTTCAGTTACATTATTATAATGATGTCATGAAGTGCAGACCTTTCAAGCCAATGTGCAAACAATGCTAATTTAGACTTGACCCAAAACTATGATGGATTGCAAAACTAATGCAAGTTGGGTCAAGAGTGTCTGTCACACCATAGAGGCAACATTTGAAAATGGTCAACAAGTATGAACACGACATCAACAGAAAAAAACAAAACAAAACAAAACAAAACAAAAAAAAAAACTTAAGATTTGTTCTAATTTACCTTTAAAAAAAGATCAGAAGGATCTCTGACACATCACAGTTTTACTGTCGACATATTTTTCAGGGTCTAAACAAACTAAAAACCTTTAACCAGCGCAACAAAGTTAACCAAAAAGTTTCTTTATTCATGGTAATCAAATCTTTAGAGATGCACAAAAGACACTTCAAGACAAGGCAGGTTTTGGAAAAAAACTGTTTTTATTTTGAAATGACTGATCTTGTGCCCATTCACTTCCTTCCTTTTTTACATTAGTTTTTTGAAAATCTCTTCCACCAATGTCTAAGTTAAGCGATGCTCAAAAGGTAAAACTCTTCTCTCTTAAGACAAAATTCATCTCAAAAACAATAAAAAGTAAAAGAAAAAAATCCTAATTTTGAGAGGGAGAAGGGAGGGTTGAAACCAAATAAAAAGAGATGCTACAACTGAGAACTGCCTCATTGGGGGATGGGATGATAAGCCCGGGCCCACGCCGTGACATGCCAATCAAAGTCCTGCTCCAATGTGAGGAGGGAAGCCAGTCACAGTGTAGTGTCCAGAAACTCACATGATGCCCTTCTCTTTATGGGCAAGTAAGGCATTCAAATACAGTAGGTTACAGTATGCACAGATACCTCTAATTGGTACAGTAGATCACAAGATGAGAAACCAGAAGAAAAGATCTCCATTCTCCAAACCCTTTGAGATTCTGAGGAACATTCAGTATTGACTATTAGTGCTGCTAGGCTTCAATACACTAGTTTTTCCTCTGTATTTCTATGGCAGAAGAGCAACCTGTAAGGACAAGGGGCTCATTCTCTGCCATGTTCTCTTCAGCAAGTGCCTGTCTCAGCTTTAGAAAATGCTAACCTTGATCATGTCCAATAGAAACGTAAAAGCCAAAAATATTCATCAAAACAAGGTTGAAAAATCATCACACTCATAAAAACAAACATTTAAACTAGGGACAAAAATGACTGAGCAGGATGAAGACATGAGGATGAATTACAGCTGGTCTCAGGACAAGATATAATGGTTGACTTTGGGGCTATAATTCAAACCTGGCTGAAGATGAAGAGGTGGCTAAATGTGTACTTGGCAGTACAAATCGAGTTTATAGGATACTCTTTAGAAAATGGAGATTTTCTTCCTCCTGGAGGTCCAGTGTATCATGACTAAGAGCGTGTTCTGGTGTCAAACACATGCCTGTCAGTGAAAGGTATCATAACAAAGTGAACTCACCATCCATGAACTCCTATCCCAACTTGTTGGGTTAACAGTCTCCAACCTGATCTATGATCACAATATGGCATTTTGAAGTAAACCCCCTCAGTTGTTTACTTCCTCATTACATAAAGATTCCTAGCAGAGGCTGAGCCTTGATGTAGATACATATTGCTCAACTGCAGCCCAGCTGAGATGAGGATAAGTGTGAGATGACAATGGACAGTACAGTAGATAGCCAACCATGAGATGACAGGGGAGAGGGCAGAGAGCAGGAGGAGAGAAGACCATTTGTGCTTATACACTTGCTTTAAGCTATGACATTATGTGTGCATGAGGGCTGTTGAGCATATTATGTGCGCCTTCAGAGCACCGGCTGTGTGCATCCTCAGAAACTACTGCTGCACATGCATTTCCCGGTGTGGACACGTCAGTATGCAGACACCCAATGTAGTTTGAAACTTGGAGAACATCATTTAAATTTGCTTTCCTGATGATAAGCAGATTGTTTACTGCACTAATATTTGTTCATTCATTATGAAGCTGCAGCCAGTAGATGGTTAGATTAGTGTAGCAAAAACATAAGGTGATACAGCTAGCCTGGCTCTGACAACAGGTAAAAAATATATATACATCTACCAACACTTCTAGAGTGCATGGTTTAGTTCTTCACATCTCAACTGGTTAATCAGAACAAAACCAAGGTGTAAAATTAACAATTCAACATCCTACGGTGGGCTATGAATGGGAGCATTTCTAAATTAGGAGCAGCAATTTCATGGAGTCTGCCTTAGTTGTGTAACTGCTCCTGTGTCATTTTTACACTTAGGTTTTTGTACTTTTTAAATCAACAAGACACAAAATGTGAGTTTAAGAGGTGCTGGGAGGTGGATTTTGTCACTCTACCTTTGGAAAGAGCCAGGCTAGCTCTTCCTGTATTCCCAGTATTTGGATAAGGATAATAATCACCTTTATTGGCCAAGTATGTTACACACAATGAATTTGTTTCCGGTAGAGAACCGATGGCAGCTATGTGCGGCGCCAACTCAACCGAGTTCTAACCATCAGGGGCAACTTGGGGGTTCGGTGTCTTGCCCAAGGACACTTCGACACGTGGACTGTAAGCACTGAGATTCGAACTGCCGACCCTCCGGTTGGGAGACGACTGCTCTACCCACTGAACCAAAGTCACTAAACTAAGCTAACCAGCTGCTGGCTGCTGCTGCAAACTTCCCCAAAAGAAGGGAAAGTGGTATAGATCTTCTCATGTAACTCTGGAAAAAGCCAAAAGACGCATTTCCAAAAATATCCAACCACTCCTTTAACAATTCAGCATCATACTTGCATGTCACCATATTAAGGTATCTCTAGGAGTGCAAAATCTCAAGTTTCCAAGGAAGGAAGAGTAGGCCAGAAACAATTCAGCACTACTCTGCCAATAAATGTGCTGTAGATGTTTTTACAGAAAAAATGGGAGCAAGTATTGAAAAACCCAGCTCAAGCAAACACTTACAACAAAATAAAAATGCCCTAATGCAAATATGGTCATTTTAGAGGTGCATCAACAGCATCTCTGCTGTCATGATCTGTTCCAAAATACATCCCAAATTACTCTGATCTGTTAACTTGTTCTGAAAAAGCTTCTGTTAAAAGATCTGATAAAGTAAAAACAGCAAAAAGGGGATTCGGCTGTCAGGTAGCATTGGTTAGTATTTGATTCTGCAAACTGCTCGTGGTTTACACCTTTGCTTTGTTTTTTGTGTACCTGTGTTCTTGCAAATAAATGGTGAGATCACTTTGCTAGACCTCACTTTGAAAGTAAAATGTGTGTGGTTAATGTTCGCAGTTCCCTTTCATCAGGTGCTCTCTCCATCCCGCCACACCCTCTCCCAAAGAGGTAGCAGCCCTGCCCCAACACTCCCCGCCCCCACTTGTTCCACCCCTCCCAGCCCCACTCCGTGCCAACTAACCCGACCCCAAGCCTTCCAGTGCACTGTGGCACTTCTCTACTCAGCCTGAGCATCATAGTTGGCTCCACCCGCCTTCTTCAGCTCCGTGCGGAGGTAGTCTTCATCCAGTTCCCTTGGGTCACTGATCAAGAACTCCTTAGCAAAGATCTGTAAAACAAAAAAAACACATGCTGCAGTGAAAAAGAAGTACTACCAGAGGATCAATGTATCCGATACTGAAAGCAAAATGCCATTTTACATCAGCTGCTGGGCATGAAGAAAAGCAGTGACTGAGGAAAACATGTACATCTGTGGCAAACACCACCTGAGAAAACCCAAAGTCAAGTCATTTGTTGCATAATGGGGCACAACACAGCAAAACCACACGTGTCCATGCAGATTCTCAGTCACCCAGGTCATAGTGTGACACCATCCACTTCAACACAAACTGGGAGTCATCAGAACTCTAAATCACAGGGCAGATGAAGTGCCCACAACTGCAGAAGGGGCTAAGAAGGAGAAACTACACATCCAGAACTCCCTTAGGGCTTGTGGATACCCCAAGTGGGCCTTCACCAAAGCAAGGAAGAGGCCCAACACCAACAGGGAGAAACCAGAAACAAGAGGGGATAACACTGTCATCCCTTATGTGGCTGGTTTATCAGAGAAGTTAAAAAGGATCTTTCGCAACCACAATATCCCAGTTAACTTTAAACCAGGGAACACCTTGCGGCAGAGACTGGTCCACCCGAAGGACAAAACACCCAGACATAAACAGAGTGATGTGGTGTATGCAATTAAGTGTAGTCAGGAGTGTAACGACTTGTACATTGGTGAAACTAAGCAGCCGCTTCACAAACACATGGCCCAACACAGGAGGGCCAACTCCAGTGGACCAGAGTCAGCAGTCCACCTCCACCTGAAGGACAAAGGACATTCTTTTGAGGACAGTGAAGTCCAGATCCTCTCCAGAGAACATCGCTGGTTTGAGAGAGGAGTTAAGGAAGCTATTTTTGTAAAAATAGAACACCCCTCACTAAATAGGGGTGGTGGACTAAGACACAACTTGTCATCCATCTACAATCCTGTTTTGAGATCTCTGCCCAAACATGCCCACCAGGACAATAGGCGTCGGTCGACAGGGGAGGATTCAAAGACAGGTAACGATGCTCACCAGTACTGGGCTACAGCTACTCAGTTGTTAGGAGACACTGTTGGCCTTCAAAGGACTGAAACACCACCGAGGGGGATAAATATCTCCAGCTCAACACCAGTCAGGCAGAACTGATGAAGCCTCTTGGATGAGAGGTGAAACGTCTTCGACCTAAAAA